TCTATACTAAACGTCACGATAAAACACTGCTCAACGAGCGTGTAATTTTATTAGTAAGGGGAAATCAGGTCTTTTAATGGTAACAGGTTAATTAAAATTGTAAAAAAAAACCTATCAGGATTTAGTCAGGATTCAAACCTGGAATCCACTGCATTAAAACTTAATCATCACTATACGAGTATCTACAAAACGATTGCCAATACCGTTATTTTAATACAGCATTGCACCAGTATTTTCGGCAGTTATTTTTAATTAACTATTAATGTAATGTAGAAATCCTTCCAACTGACTGCGGCCCGTTGAATGAGCAACTCGTGCGCAAGCGCATCGTTTTGTAACCCGGTACCGGCCGGTACAATACAACTACTCCGCTACGCGCCCGTGACTCTATTTCGCGTGATTTATTAGACAAATTAGACAGTTGACTTTAACTGGAATAAAATCTGGCCACCTAATTAAATAAACAAATATTTACTTAATTAAGACATTAATAATACGAATAATAGGCACCTATATTGTAGATCGATTAATTTATTACGTTAGACTCAGGTGCGTGTTACAGACCGATGCTCAACAAAACCCTTCAAGTACCAGCGATTACAATAAAAATCAATAATTGTTACCGCGGTCTCATGCGACCACTTAGTAGGGTGTCAAAGCATAAATTGAGTAATACTAAAAAATAAAGTGAGCATTTTTGTTAATGAAACGAGTTTTAGCTTTGTAGTGGTACTTTGTATACGGACTAACTTCACTTGCTTTAATGACATTTCATTCTTGGTTGTTTCGGATTATAGGTTAGGTTAATATTAGTTCCATGCAATAAGTTGTTATGCCTTCGGGGTGGGAGGATTGACAAAAAGTACAATAGCTAAGCTACATCTTGGTTTCCACGTTAATGAGTGTCGATGGGTGAGTAATGATAATGCATTGCCTTGGAACAAAAACGTGGAAGCCGGCAGGTGAGGTTCTCTACCATTGTTTTGATATTTATAATCACTATGCTTTCCTTGAATGCTTAAAAGACATTTAAGCCCATATTACCTTTGAGAAATATTGACAATTTATGGATAGACCGCAAAAATATAAAATTGTTAGTAAAAGTAGGTAAAGAAATTCTCTACATTATTTCGCTTTACGGCAAATGTCTCATATCAGCTATGAACACTTTAAATAATGAACATAATGTATCTTACAAAAAATTATGTTTAGATCCATTGTCTGGTAAATATCTGTACCAACTTTGCTGAGTTTGGGAGTAAGTACCTAGATTGTTGAAAAGAAAATGCTCCAGTACATTATCATTATTAAGATTGCCTGCTTACTAGGTCTCATCTTTGTGTAGGCTGCTTGTACTAAATTGCCTTGAAAAAGTTCTATTTCCTCTAATTTTTCACCTTTTCAAAAAGGTAAGGTGGCTGGCCTCAGTGTTAAGTCGCAGGCCTGCGTGTAATAGCATGATTCACTGTGAGGGCAGAGGACAATTGCGGTAACGACTGCCATCACTCACCAGGACGATCACCCATCCACTCTGACGAGCGAAACTCAATAAAACCGCCATCAAATTAGGAAAATGCTTCGCTGGTCTAATGGCTTCAGTGCCGGTCTTAAATCGAGACGCTCACGATCCCAGTTCAAGAGTTTACTGAGATCCGCCATATAAATCGATCTAAATTCTCACGATCACGATCCAGATAACAATGTTTCTTCAAGCAACATAAGATAAGATCATAAAATATTAGATAACAGTAGGCGGGCATGAAATTGGAAGGTTTTACGTGAAACATCTGCACGAAAGGGATTCCGTTTGTGTCTATCACCCGTCGTAAAACACAATACCTACCTACGCGATAGGTACGTCAAAAGCTTTTCAACGAATTAAGAAAAAATGTGAAGATCGTTCTTACATAAAGGTACCCACACACCTTGTTAGCCACATAAATGCCGCCGCGTGACGCAACGTGACATCTCTGTCGGCAAAACTAACAAACGGTGAAAGTTCACCGCAGCCTCTCGCAACCGATCGCCGACTGCCATCGATTGTTTAAATGTCAATATTGTTGGTTCTCGAGGGCCGGGCCGGATCTAAAGCTTTCCACGCTAGGTTAAGGTTGCGACACAGCATCCTAAACGTTATGCCGCGTTACGCATCTTCATGACTCAACGGAACTTGATAATCAAATTGGCATTAATTAATACTGGTATCGGACTATCGACAAAGTAACTTTCTCTTTCTATGATTTAAGTAGGCAAACTTCTGATATTGCATTACCCAGATGCCTATATGTATATTAGATTAGAGTAATAAAATTGATATTTATGGCACAACTTTCGAGGCAAGGGAGCGTTGAAATGTTCGATTCTCCTTTCGATTGGACATTCCCTCGTTTGAATAGTTTGAAGTCCTTCAAAGTTGGACAAGCAAGACAAATGACGGGCGCGCATTGCCTCTTGCCAGCTCGAGGAGGGGGCAGCTGAAATGGAGCGGTAACCAGGACCGGTTCTTTTGTGCTCCTTTACGCAATTCATCGACGCAATGTTTTGCCTGGATTCCGCGGCAATGATTAACTCGGTTATGATAAACACTACCTACTTTTTACCGCATGCATTATAATGAATGCCGAAATAATGGTAAGCTGAATATTAAGTCGGTTACGAAATAATGAACTATTGAGCCGTGTTATTTTTTCTCATCGCTATGGTTAAATTGTAATATTTGTAATACACTGTAATGTCATGGTTATACAACGTTTTGTCAAGGTTTTGATTGATATATTTATTACGCTTCATGCCTTTTACGATGAGTAATATTGTATAACTAGTTTATCCGACACACCGGCGCAAACGCACCGTTTGTTCATCTGTTTAAATGTTGTTATGCCGCAAAATAACTTTATCTCAAAATGAATTAATTACAACGAACTAAAACATACATGCTCTCAATTTGCTGCTCATTGTGATGTTAATTCTCATCTAATAGAGTTTGTAATTCAGTTTATATAACTATTAGAGAACTCATTATGATTTTACAAAGTAGGTAAGTACTGCACAAAGCGTAACTTATTAAGTGAATAATGTGTTGAAATTGTACGCAGGGAGGCACATGGGTGTTAATGATGATTAGCCAAGATGAAATTAAGTAGAATGTTAGCATTCATTAATATAAAAATAAGGTACGTTTTATTCAAGTACCAGTTAAAGAGTTGTTAGATTAGAACTTAGATCCATTAATCTACATTTCCCAGAATGCCCGTTTTGACCTATAGTTAGTTAAGTATTAGTTCCAAAATATACTAAATGAACAGCATAAAGTCTCTACATTGATTGTAGCGAAATCCATTAATAGTAGAGTCTGGCTTCAAATAATAGATGAAAGCACCTGAATTACGAACCAATTCCAGCGAATAAGATAATAAGCTTATTGAATGTCAAATTCAGGGTATACAACATTCACAGCCACATTAGTATTTTGTACAATGTTGAAACATAATGCGTTTAGCTGTACGAAATCAGAATAATGTAGTAAAGCTTTGCTCGTGATATGAATAAATATAAAGATTTTGCAATTTAATCTTAACGATCAAGCTCTCTAATATCTCAAACTAATGCACACTAATTTGACGTCATTGCGCAAGATCGAGATAAAAAATAATCGCGTCCTTTTAATATTAACTTAGGTATAATATGATGGAACTATAATGTTTGTCCCTGACACCGTCCGTTCACCTCGCGCTGGACACTTAGCTACGTTTTCTCAATGCCTCTAAAACTTTCCACGCGCTCCTACTGCTGAAAGCAATCTCAATTCTTGAGATTAGAATATTTCAATTACGAAATGTAACAAGGTGTGTAATGGACTTATTTCCAGCTGTGGCTCACGATCGGCATCGCTTTATACGAGACTGTCTAAATTAGCATTCAACCTCTCAAATGAGTATATGAAATGCCTCACTACACCTACACATATTATTTTAAAAGCCACTATTACTCAGGTACCTCGTGGTATCCAAATTGCTAACCATCTACCTGTCAAAGCTTGAAGTGAGTAAGTATGTACCATGTAGCCACTAAGCACTTCAAGCGGTCTTACTTGGTTACACAATGTCAACAAAGTAGTTGTGAGGCAAGCCTCGATTCTAGGTCAATCCTTCTAAATTTGTGAGAGCCATCATCCTGCGTGACAAAATTCCAATACACGTAAGGCTGGCGAGAAAGTAATACAATAAATAATAATAAATAAATAATAAATAAATAATAAATAAATATCCTTGGACATTTTACACTGCGCTTCTAGTCCCAAACTAAGCAAAGCTTGTACTATGGGTACTAGACAACGGATATAAACATACTTAAATACTTTTTTTTTTTGTAAATACATACTTATTATACATAGAAAACACCCAAAAATAAGCAGCCGAATGCAATTTACATAGGAATTAGTGATTATTACGTCAACCACTTTTGCTATGAATATATTCATATTGTTATAAGGATATAGCCCTTGTTTCCCGTGGCGACGGGAGGTTTTATAAATCAGAATGTTTTTCTTTTTTCGTGATAGAATTGAAATACTTACGTATGTTAGATTGATTTACTAATACGCAAAATAAAGCAAGATTATATTATTTAAAATATTAGGCAGTTATGGGAACCAAAAATTTATTGAAGAATCGTTATTTTTTACGTTTCTGTTCAGCATGCGGATAGTGTGCGTTTAAGCGATTACCGCACGCGCTATTAATTTATTATTTTCTTGTAAACAAACTGATTAACTCCCACTAGTAAAATATTTTGCTTTTATTGCATTTATTAATTCGTGATTTGTTAGACATATTCTTCATTCATAATAACAATTGGTTACGATAGCTGTTAGGCCTACTATTAATCTACTGCAATAACAACTGCTATTGGGATTTTATTAAGATAGGTAGGTACGAATCTTATTACACATTTTTCAAGAATTTTATAGCTTTTGAAATTATAAAAAAATAGTTACAAACCTTTGCTTTATAAGCGTGAAATCCCGGTATTCCACCAAGATAAAATTAATTGAACACCACTTCTATACTTCCACTGTCAGTTCGTTCGTACTTTAATTTATGATGTCGTTGTTTGCAAGGGATTGTCAATTTATCACGATAAAATCAAGAAGTGATCGAGGTGCGCGGGCGCATGCTGCGTCGGAGTCGGCAGTCGTGCGGACACTGCGCGCTCGGCGGCACCGGACCGGTATGAAAGTATGCTACATCTAATTAATATCACTTATTCGAATTTTCTTAACATTTGCCACTTATTATGTCAACAACGCATTACGCAAGGATCCGCGCCCGTCAACTCTTTCAAAATTGCAAAACAGCAAACATCTCCGCCTCATCCTATTTGTATCTCGCACATAATTACCCAGGCATATAGTGGCTCGTAAGAACCCTCCACCCTTTATTTGCAATTAAATTAATTTACGTATGAACATCACAGAAGTTTCATTAAGTAGGTAGGAGTAGGAGCGAGTGAGGGCAGAATAACAAAGAAGCGGGATGATGACACGCGCCCTAATATCAGCGCTGACAAATTATAGGCCTTTAGTATTCCTTCCCCCGGGCACGCCGGTATTACTGCTCATACATCTCCATAATTATGTATTCTTAGACGTATTGTAAAGAGAGCGCTGAATATTATAGTAATTGTATTTTCAGGAACGATCGACATCAGTAAGAAACGTAAATAAAATTGTAGATATACAAAAGTACCTCACACCAGCAATTTCAGTCTTTAGCGGTGTAAGAAACAGAATATTAGACTATTTTTGTTATAATCTGGATAAATGCATAACTAGATATTTCATATTTTCTCACATAGGTATTTGGTAGAGCGCCTCTACTAGTGTTACTAATCACTTTAGTTTTTAGTTGCTTTCACGGGAATGCAAGTAAATTGCATGTCACAATTTACTATAAAACAAAAAAATCTTGACAAGCTTACTTGCCTGTAAATAATGTAGACCACCGAGACAGTTATCTTTGATTCAGTAGATTTTATCATCATAATTAAAAGACACGTCTTGATTCCACTGACTACAATGTTTATTTACTAACAAGGTTACCATTTAAAACACTTTTTATTTAATTACTAAAGGTCATTGTATAAAAAATAGAAACGTTTCTAAAATGGCCATTACAACAACACTTAAATCATTTAATAATTGCAACTACAGTATTTGTTTCACACTGCGTTTCGTCATAAAATCACCTGCTAATTTTGCCGACATGTGTGGTAACAGCCGTTATCCTGGTAACGAAATAATCTGGTTACCTAACCCGGTGCCCGAAATCGAACGCGATCGAATATTCAATGAATGTGGTTTCTAGATGGAAGGATTCGATGAATATTAGATAAAACCTGAACGCACATTTGGCTTTCAGTTTAGCCGAGAAATACTTAGTTAATTTACGCTTTTGTTACGGTCTTTTGTCGATTTGAAAGCATTCAACGTTGAATAATGATGATACCATGAAAAATAAATCGAGAAATCAATCCATTAATCAATCCTTGAATGAAACAAAATCTCAGAAACTAAATTATGTTTGTAAAAGTATTCAGGCGGTCTTATCGCTAGCTATCTTTTCCACACAGAAAAATTGTAGAGCTAACATAACTTTTTTACTGCTTACGCAAAAAAGTAAAGCGAAGTGTTTCCTTTAACAAAACCGGTAAAAGAAATAATTGTATCTTTACGAATGAAGTATTGAGCTCGCTAAAGGTAGTTTACATCCTTTTGGCCAATTTTAGTTAATTTTTAGGGTTCCGTAGCCAAAATGGCAAAAACGGAACCCTTATAGTTTCGTCATGTCCGTCTGTCCGTCTGTCCGTCTGTCACAGCCGATTTACTCGGAAACTATAAGTACTACAGTGATGAAATTTGATGGGAATATGTGTTGTATGAACCGCTACAAAATTATGACACTAAATAGTAAAAAAAAGAATTGGGGGTGGGGCCCCCCATACATGTAACTGAGGGATGAAAATTTTTTTTTCGATGTACATACCCGTGTGGGGTATCAATGGAAAGGTCTTTTAAAATGATATAAAGTTTTCTAAAAAACATTTTTCTTAAAGTGAACGGTTTTTGAGATATCAGCTCTCAAAGTCGTAAAAAGTATGTCCCCCCCCCTCTATTTTTATAACTACGGGGTATAAAATTCTAAAAAAAATAGAGGTGATGCATGCTAATTAACTCTTTCAACGATTTTTGGTTTGATCAAAGTATCTCTTATAGTTTTTGAGATAGGTTGATTGCGTCTTTCCGTTCTATACATGGCCAGAACGCACCCATAGGAAACTGCTCGTGTATATTTTGGAGTGTCTCTTTGTAAGTCGGTCACTACAAACTATACACGAATTTTGCGTACTGATCGTGTATAGTTTGTATCGTGGATGGATTCCGTCTTCGCTCCAAACTATACTTCACCACTTACAGTTGACTAGAGTGTGTTTAGTTTATTTGATTTAATAAAATATGGAATTATATTTAAAATTATTACATTTATTAGATATTATGCTCGTGCTTTGTCCTCGAGATTAGAAATAAGAACTACCTATGTAGATCACGTATGGTGATGCCATTTTTAAATTCATTAATTTTTACATAAAATACTATTATTTTACTGAATCTACATATTATTATAACAAATCTAGATTTATAACACTAATGTAAGTGGTTTCTGAAATTAAATTGATTAGGTAGATTTCAAATTAAATAACAATAAATTATTTATTAGTGAGAGCGAATGAAGAAAGTTAAACGTGCATTATTAACCCATTATAGACTAGCGGTCCCATATGGTACCACTTTTTTGTGTGTTTTAATTTGGCTCTATACATTAACACATGAAAAGATGCAGTGCTCTGATTGATGCAAATCGTAGCCAATAGATATGGTCTATGCTTCTAGGAATAAAAATTGACAGTTATTCTTTTCAGTTGTGTGTAATTAATGATTGAAGTGAGCGCATCAAAATTTTCTCTTAAAAATTGACGCGCCATTCAAGTAAGTGATCATATTTTTTTTGTGTGATAGTGAAATACTGATTTTGTTACAATCTTGTATTCTCCATAAGTGCTCTTATTGTGAAATGATTTAAAATTACGTCGATAGGTAATAATAATGGGAAATACTGTATGTCAAAATTACTGGTACCGTACGGTACCGCTAGCCGCTTACCGTGTCTTTTTAATTATTTTATGATTTTTAGTTTTTACTGTATTTATTGGGAAGCATGCGATATATTCAATGGTATATAAGGTATACAGGAAGATAAAGTAAAATAGTTTCCTATACTTTACAAAACCATGGGTTTTTATTTATTTTAGATGTAACTTACACGAAACATTGGCAATTTTGGAGGACGATGAAGGTCCCAAGACGAAGCAGATATTTATAGAACGTACTCGAGATAATTGCAACTCTCGAACAATATTAGAGTATACCGGTTTTTATTCGAAATGCAGGCTGTCATTTGAGAAGAAGAGTCGCTTTTACTGATACTTTTGAGAACTTAACGAAGAGATCATGACTGTATCGAACGAAATCGAACTTAACATTGTTTTTTAGGACATTAATAGTACTGAGTTACTCAAAAACACATTATAGTATAGAGTGGTAGTACCTCTACATGTAGAAGACTATCGCAGAATATATTGAATGTTACACTAAATTTAAATCCTATAGAGAAGCCTTAAACTGAATCTGAACTACTATTACCTATATTATAGCTTTCTCTAAACTGTCTAAGAGATAATCTTTTTTCTAATCACACAGCTTGAATGGGTGTGTGATTTCTTACAACATATTTATTTTTCATCCACATCCATCAATCACTCATGTTTTATATTTTGTCATTCATCTCTCAAATCCGTCTGTGTATGAACGGGGATTTGATTAGCTATCATCTAAGTAAGGGATTCAGTTAGTGAATAATATCTAAAGAAATATCATAATGATGGATATTCTAGTGAACTGGTTATTTCTTACCTATTATTACCAGTAGTGTTACCAGATACAAGTTAATAGGTATAATCTTCTGGAACATTTAAAAGAAGCAGAATATTCAAGAACAATATGATTTAAACGTATAAAATCACAATATGGAAAGAAAACTGAAAAAGCTGTTCAGCATATTTTTGCATCAACAAAGGCTATCGTAGTTGGAATACCTTTTCCGATAACTGTGTACGGAACTAAAATCCAACTGAAATGGGCTTCGATTCCCAGTCAAGCCGGACTAATCCTCTTTGGCTCACAGGTTTCTACGCCAAAAAATGTGCAATTTTAACGAAAACCTAGAGGCTTTTTCAGTCGGATAGCTAGCACTTTACTAAAAGGATGGTAGTGTCCTCTCATGATAGCTACTTAACTTTACCCAAGAACTTATTGGTCAGTTTTCTTAGATCAATTTCATAAAGATAAGTAATTTCATATGGAGCTATAAAATATTTTACAAATATTTTATTTGTAAAAATAAAATAAAGTAGGTATTTTAGTGTTTAAGGCTTTATTAGCGATGAAATTTAAACATATTATAACTTTCATTTGCATTTCCAAAATTCCGATTTATACCTACCTAGTAGAGCCACATACTTAGTTACTTTTAATTAGATTCTGAAAATGTACAACGTAAATAAATTGCTAAATCTTCACAATTTTCGCCAGTTTGTTTGCGAAGTAGGTCTCTACCACAGTCTCTACCTTCTAATTGACAAAGATCTCGCGATTTATCTTTTAATTAGGTACGTTTTCTGTTGTTAACTAAAATAACTAGGGTCATTCATAAACAAGTTATTTGAATCAATAGAACAAATCTCAAGTTTTACGTGGTCTGACGGTTGGGTTTGACTCTTTACACCTTGACATCATAATCAAATAACGTGGGAAAGTCCTTAAATACTGTTGAAGTAATGAGATAGGTAAGTTATTTATGTAAAAGATTTTCTAATGTACAAAAGCTCCTTATACTATTTTAAAGTTATAGGTAATGTAGCTGCCAAAAAAGAATTGTGTTATAATATTTCGTAACTATGAATGTATGTTATTATTTTAACTGGGTCTTCGCTTTTCATTTACCTACTTTAAATTTTATTGATGCGAGATTAAATAATTAAATTACCCATAAAATGAGTAGGTACTATCTATC